CTGGCTATTTTTTATTTTTTCCGGTTGCAGCCATCATTGTTGTTTGGCGGGCTGGGGCTGAATTCGAACCCGCCACCTTAGGTGTATGTGGCTGGCGCCTTAGCCACTTGAGCCACAGGCACCGAGCCTACTCCCAGCTATTTTTAGACATAGGGTCTTACTCTGGCTTAGGCTGGTCTTGAACCTGTGAGCTCAGGCAATTTACCCGCCTCAGCCTCCCAAGTGCTGGGTTTACAGGCTAAGCCACTGCACCCAGCAGAAATATATAAGACATTATTGCTAACTCAAGTCATCCTACTGTGTAATAAACTACTAGAAATTATTCCTCCTAACTGTAACTTTGTAGCCATTGACCAACCTCTCCCCATCCTCTGATAACCAGTATTCTACCCTCTACCTTAATGAGAACAACTTTTTAGATTTGACATATAAGTAAAATCATGCAGTAATTTTCTTTCTGTAACTGGTTTATTTGACTTAACCTAGTTCTGAGTAGAGAAGTTTTTAATTTTGATAACTGATGTATTAATTTTTAATACATAGCTTGTGCTTTTTGTGTCCTAAGAAATCTTTTCCTAGCCCTAAATCACAAAGCTTTTTCCTCTTGTGTTTTAATAGAAGTGTCATAATTTTTAGATTTTCCATTTAGGACTACAATACATTTTTGAGTTAATTTTCTCAACTGCTTTGAGATAAGGGTTGAGAAATTTTGGGGTTTTTTTGCGTATGAAAGTTCAACTTTCTGAGTGGCGCCTGTGGCTCAAGGAGTAGGGTGCCGGCCCCATATGCTGGGGTATCAGGCTCAAACCCAGCCCTGGCCAAAAACTGCATAAAAAAAAAGAAGAAAGTTCAACTTTCTAGATTCATTTGCTAAAGAGACTATTTTTCCAAACTGATTTCAACCATTTGTTAAAAAATCACCTTTCCTCTGTTGACATCTTGGCACTTTGATCAAAAACCAGTTGCTGGTTTATGTGTGAGCCTCTTTCTGGATTGTCAGCTCAGTTTCATGAATCTATGCCTGTCCTTGTGCTAGCAACATGCACTCTTTATTATATTAGCTTTACAGGAAGTCGTGAAATCTGCATTCATTTCTAAAAAAAATTTACTTGGATTTTGATTGAAATTGCATGGAATCAACAGCTCAATTTAGGGAAATTAACATCTTAACAATATTGAGTCAACCAAACTATAAACATGGTATGTCTCACTATTTATTTAGATCTTCTTTTTTTTTTGAGACAGAGCCTCAAGCTGTCCCCCTGGGTAGAGTGCCATGGCATCACAGCTCACAGCAACCTCCAACTCCTGGGCTCAAGCGAGTCTCCTGCCTCAGCCTCCCAAGTAGCTGGGACCACAAGTGCCTGCTGCAATACCTGGCTATTTTTTGGTTGCAGCTGTCATTGTTGTTTGGCGGCCCAGGCTGGATTCGAACCTGCCACCTTAGGTGTGTGTGGCTGGCGCCTTAGCCACTTGAGCTACATGTACCGAGCCTATTCAGATCTTCTTTAGTTTAACCTAGCAAAGTCTTGAGGTTTTCTATGTACGGTAGCCCCTCCCCTTTTATCTTTGGGGAATATGTTGGGAGACCCTTAGTCGATACCTAAAAGCACAGACAGTACTGAGCCCTGTAGATAATACTGCATGTATTTTTCTCTACATACATAACTACACTAAGATTTAATTTATGCAGTGGGCATAGAAAGAGATTAACCACAACAATAATAAAATAGAACAAGTATAATAATATAGGGTAATAAAAATATGTAAATGTAGTCTCTTTCTCAAAAATCTCTTCCTATTTTTAGCTTGTGGTTGACTGACACCACCGAAAGGGAAAATGCCCACATGGGGAGCTACTGTGCAGCTCGCCGTCATTATTTTATTAAACTTATTCCTAAATAATTCATGTTTTGCGATGCCATTGTAAATGATGCATTTAAAAATTTTAATTTCCAATTGTTTATTGCTAGCATGTAGAAATACAATTGATTTTTGTATGTAGTCTTGGGTCCTTTGACCTTGTTAGGTTTGCTTTTTTGTTAGCTGTGGTTGCTTTTTGGTAGATTCCTTAGAATTTTCTACATAAACAGCCACATTGCCAGTGCATAATGACAGCTGTATATATTGCTTTCTAGGCAACATGATGTGAACCAGGAACTCACACTGAATATAAGTGTCAAGAGGGATGTCCTTGCCTTCTTCCCAATCATAGGGGAAAATAATTCAGTTTTAAGTTATGGTTGTAGCCGTAGGTTTTTGGAAGATTTCCTCTATTACACCGAGAACATTCTTTCTATTTCTGGTTTGCTAACTGTTTTTCTTTTTTTTAATCATAAATGGGTGCTGAAAGTTACCAAATGTTTTTCTACACCTTTTAAGATGCTCATTTAATTTCTCCTTTTTAGTCTGCTTAAGACGAAGAATTATATTTATTGATTTTTGCATGTTGACCCCATCTTACATTTCTAGGGTAGACCCCACTTGGTCATGATATATCTTCTTCTTCTTGTTATTACAAAGAGTTGGATTTGATTTATTAAAATTTTAAGAATTTTTTTGTCTGTGTTCAGAAGATATATTGGTCTCTACTTTTCTATCCTTTTAGTTTATTTTTCGAGCATCAGTGTAAAACTAGCCTCAGAAAATAAAATGGAAAATCTTCTTCCTATTCCTTTGTATAGGAATAGTTTTATTCCTGCCTTAAATATTTGGTAGAATTCATCAGTAAAGCCAACTTTACCTATGGATTTTCTTTACAGGAAGGTTTATAACTATAAATTCAATTTGTTTAATATAAATAGGGATATTTAAATTATTTCATTCTGAGTGAGCTTTACTTGTTCTGAACTTTCAATGAATTTGTTAATTTTACCTAATTTGATGAGTTTAATGACTTAAAGTATTCATAACATCCTTTTATGTATAGAATTAATAGTTCACTCTGGAAACCAGTAAGTGTGTCCACTAGCTGTTTTTCTTGTTACGTTTGGCTAAAGAGGCTCAGCACCTGTGGCTCAAGTGGCTAAGGTGCCAGCCACATACACCTAAGGTGGTGGGTTCGAATCCAGCCCGGGCCCGCCAAACAACAATGATGGCTGC